AACTCAGAATTAAATAAAACAGAACAAAAAGACAATAGAAAGAATAATGGAACAATAAGCTAGTTTTTTGAAAAGAGAAAATTGACAAACCTCTAACTCACTAAGGAGAAAAAGCACTCAAAATCAGACACTACATAAATACAGAGGACTATTCAAGGATACTGCGAAAAGCTACACACCACCAAATTTGATAACCTAGAAGAAATAACAAATTCTTAGAAAAATGTAACCTTCCTGGACTGAACCATGAAGAACTGAAAAACCCAACTAGACCAATCAACAGTAAGTAAATTGAAAGAGTAATCAAAACCCATCCAAAAAGCTGAAGTCAGGACCAGATGGCTTCACTGATGAATCCTACCAAACACTGAAAGATTTAATACCTACCTTTCTCAAACTCTTCCAAAAAAAATCAAATAAGGGAATAATTCCTAACGCATTTTATGAGGTTAACATTACCCTGATACCCCCCAAAAATGTACCCAGGTCTTTAAATATAGTCATTGTATCTTTAAAAATAGTGTTATGATTCTTAAATCACTTGTTTTATCTCTTTCCTTTTTTTCTTTAGGTCTTAGATATCTGATGCTCTTCAATTACCCATAAGAGGGAGGCACTAACACACTGAATCCAAGTTCAATGTGCAGTGGGTGGAGCTTATTGAACAGTGGGCCTCACCTTAGAGAGGTAGCCAACCTTTTCACTTTCGGTATCCCAGGGTCTTTCCTCTTTAGTTAATCAGTTTCTACAAAAAGAAATTCCAGCTGTGGCTGGTGTGGCTCAGTGGCCTGTGGATTGACTGCTGGCCTGCGAACCAAAGGGTCGCCAGTTCAATTCCCAGTTGAGGCACATTCCTGGGTTGAGGGTCAGGCCTCCTCATGCAAGAGGCAAACACATATTGATATTTCTCTGTCTTTCTCCCTCCCTTCCCCTCTATGTAAAAATAAATAAATATTTAAAAAATATTTTTTTAAAAAGAAATTCCAGTCTTCTATGTGGGATTACAAAGCTGGCCACCAGATGGGTACTCAACCCCCATCACTTACACAGCCTTTTGCCCCACGCTCCTTTGTGACCGGCGTTCCAGACTCCAGAATGTCCCTGGTTCTGCCTCTCCAGAGAGCAAGCTTCAGTCCAATCTTCTGCCAGAGGAAGCTAAGGGTCGCCACCTGGCCATGTGGAGCGAGAAAGAGGACCCGGGGATAGGCCCCGTGTACACATGCTCTACCAAACCTGGTTCCGTACAGTCAGTTCTACCTCATTCCTGCTCATATGCCTACCTGATGCATCTAATTCCTGAGTCTCTCGGAAATTGAGTACCAGGGTTTTAAACAAGAAGTTCATTTGTTCTCTATTGTCATTCCCTACTACACACACTTTACATTTTTACTTTCTTCACTTTCCAACTTTTCAAAGTGTGTTAATAGCTCTCGTTTACTGCAGTCTTCTCTTCCATGCTTTTAATCCTTGGGGGCTGATACCTTTTTCTTATTTATCGTAATTTTTTAGGAGTTTCAGAATAGATCAGGTGGAGGTTAATGTACACATTCAAACTGTTATCTTTAATGAGGCGTCTCATCTGTCTGGTGCCCACCATCCAGCTTAAGAAATAAAACATTACGAACACAGCTGAAGTTGTCTCTGAGTTCAGGATCAGCCTTTTAACATTTTTTTAGATAAAAACGAGGTGATTTTCTAACACTAAGTTTTGTTATTCTAATATTGAGAAAAGTTAAATAAAAAATATTTTTAAAAATAAAGGATAACAAGTTAGAATGTTTTGCTTGCCTTATATCTCAAACAGCATGTTAAACAGTAGTTAAGAGAAGCCATTCTTGTTTTATTGTCTTCTTTTGCAGGGGGGTTGGGGGGGCTAAGTTGAGCTTCATTCTGAAAATAATGTTAGACCTCAGACTTAATACATTCTCTCAATTAAGAAATTTTAGGAAACAATTTTCATCGGGAATATGTATCAATTTCTTGTGTACTACATTATGATCTCTATTTTTTCCATTGCTGATTAAAGAAAGTAGGTGTGTTGAGTTATCATTAGCACACCATAAAACACTCATTAAAAGGTGGACAGTTTTAGTCATTAGTCAGGTAGATTTCTAGTAAGTTTATAGTACAACCATCAACACATTCAAGATTTGAAACATTTTCATTCACAAAGTAATTTTTATTCATTGGGATTATTTTTATTACTGTTTCTCTCCCAGTTCACTGTAAGCTTCCTGAAAAAAACTGCTGAGTGCTTTTGCTCATTCTTATTTAGACAAAGTACCTGACATACAGTAGGAGGAACTCAACAAATATTGTTAAATGAAGAATTCATAAGGACTGTTTTGGTTTTAATTTTGACATTCCTTTCTCTACTTTGACTCGTTGTTTTCTTTCTCTAGATTCTTCATATATGAACTTAAATCACTGTACTCTTTCTTCTCGATCTAGCCACATTTTTTGGTTAATCTAGACATTTTGAGTGGTACCATTTCATCAAGCATTACTTGAAGAAAATCCCATAGATTTTGTTATAGCATCTATATTATTTCTATCCTTCAAAAATACAGCTGAAATGTGACCCCTCTCTACTCGAAAGCTACAAAAATGTTTCCATTTTCTACAGAATAATATCTAAAGTGTTCAGTAAAACAATCAAGTCAGCCCAAACTGATTCGTGGCCCATCCCCTCATCTACATACCTAGTAAGTCAGACTGGACATCTTGCCCTTCCCTTACACAAGTACTGAACTTCTAGTTATAAATATTTTCTCTTTTGCCCTCAGGACCTAGCAGAACATCTTCTCCAAAGTGGCTCAATAAATGTTTGTGGAGGAGTTCATACCACTTTTCACAATCCAAGTTAAGATTTTTAAGATTTTTTAAATTTACATCTTTTACAGTTTTGAATTATATTATGCAATTTCTAATTTTATGATACTGTGACCTGATGTTAATACTGTTTATTATTTTGTTTCATTTTTTAATTTTCAAAATATTTCTATATTTGTCTTCAAACTATATTTTCAAAATATTTATCTTTATGTAATCTATTTTTAAACTGCAGTAAATACTTCTTTGTATCTTATATTTTGGTCAATTTTTGTCTAAGACTTAAACATTTAACAAGACTTCTTGGCTTTTCTCCCACCAGCGTTAGACTGCAGAATTCATGAAAGCAGCAGCCATGTCTACCTTACAGAGTACATCGTTAGCACCTGGGACATGTGGATATGTTTAGCGTTGTCTTTCATTTTGTTCTTTCCATTGCTACTAAACTTAAAAGTATACACCAAGAAGTTCTTAGTGTATACTTTTAAGATTGATTACCTTATGAGAGAACAATGAATAAAAATATACATAATGAATGGGATTCAATTAAATACATCACAGGTGGCAATCACAAGGCCCACGGGCCAAATCCCCGCCCTCCACCTTGTTTTATTCACTGCCAAGCTCCTTGCCCCTAGAGTTAAGTAGTAGTTATATTTATACAGTCCTAAAATTACATTTGGCCCTTTGAAGGCAACCTCAAAGCTGATGTGACCCCCGGTGACAATGAGACAGCCCTGAGTTACAGCAAGAGTTCACATTATGAATCAAGTTGTTCTAAGAGCGAGACACAAATACAATCCCTGCCCTTGCAGCCGATGCAGATGCACAGACTAACAAGTAACTCTGATCAAGGGCACTAAAAGGAAGGTATGTCCAAAATGGCTTGGAAGTAGAAGCTGACAGAATGCTTAAATTGGGAAATTTAAGCAGGGAAAGAAGATACGTAAGGAAATTCTTTGGTAGTAAGTAAAATTCTTTGAAGGATAAAGAAAACAAACCCAGACGAAGTATAACGCATGTCCCGGACGGGGCTAGAGATCTCAGAGATCTAACTCCCAGCTCTGTGCTCTTTCCACTACTCCAGGGCTGTCAAACTCATTTTCACCGGGGCCACATCAGCCTTGTGATTGCCTTCAAAGGGCCAAATGTAATGTTAGGACTGTATAAATGTAACAACTCCTTAACAGTTAAGCGAGAGCTTGGTGCTGCCGCCTGGTAGAAACAGGTGCTGGCTGGATTCGGCCCTCGGGCTTTGTGTTTGCCACCTGTGCACTGCACCAATACTTTCAGCCTCTCACAGAAGAGTAACAGGAGAGCGTTTAATAGTGACAAAATTAGGTTGGGGGATTCATGCACCCTAACCCCATCTCCCACGAATATAAAGAAGGAAATCAAGGACCATACAAAATTGTGACATTAGCCAAGCACCACGCAGCTCAAACACCTTCCTAGTCAATGGGCCGGGGCCACAGAGCAACCTTTCCGTGACTATCACCCTCTCCCTCCGCGTATTTTTTGACCCCACAGCCCTGACTTTGGACTTTTAGAATATTTAATCCCCCCTCCCTTGTTATAAATTAATGAACTAGCACTCTGAATCATACACCAGTTTTGGCTGCCTGGTGAGCATGAAATAACCCCATGAATTTGCTCAGTTCTAACAGCACTGTAGGAAAAAGTTTACTCTAAACCAGTTATTGAAAAGGTGATTCAGGTCACAGATGGATTTTATTTGGCTTGCAGGGGAAGAGAAAGAGGGGCGGAGAGTGGGAAGGAGAGGGGAAGAGAAGATGGGGCCTAGCTCTAAAAATACCCAGACAGTTCATATAAAAATGCACGTTCCCAGGTTCTCCTGAAAACTCTGAAACTCAGTCAACATGGGGCCTACTCTGGCACAAAGTAACACCGGGCAGAGTTAAGAAGCCATAGCTCCATTTAATATGGGGTTGTTTGCCTTCTAGTTCATCCCAGACAAACCGCTCCTTTCCATTCCCGATACTAAGGCCAAAAGTCGACTGTCATTTCCCATTCTGCTTGCAGTGTTGTTTGCCTTATAAACTTCAAAGAATAAAGAATGCCATCGATGGTGGAGGTTTTTAAAAAGTACAATCCACTCTTTCCACTAACGCAGTAAGACAAAGCTAGAATCCAATAAATCAATTTACCTTAATCTGAGTCTGCTCGATGGACTTTTCCCATATCTGCTGATCATATGCTCCAATCTGAAATAGGGAGGAGGCTATTTAAATGATGCAAGGGAAATCCTTTTATGAAGGTCAAACCTCACCCAAGTCACAACTATTAAATATCAATATGATACCTGGAAAATGTGCTCAGAGTTTGAATAAGTTATCTGTGTGATATCTAGAATGTGTTTCCGCTTCTTCAGGAAAACTAGAGACGATAAACGGTAAGGAACAAATAGCTCAATTAGATTGTTGACCGCACCCTTGGGAGCGCGCAGATACAAGTTTCATGTCTAAAAGAGCAGTTTGGTCATAAACAGAGTTTCAAAGCATTCCTGGGGCATTTGGATGTAGCCCGAAGAAAGGAGGTGACATGAAAATCATATTCGGGGACCTGGAACTGGGTTTAAGAGACCTAACAACCTTGGCCATCAGTTTTTCCCTGTATGTTGAAAGAGACCATGGAAGAGTACGAGAGGGGAAACTAACGTGAAACTCTTTGTGGGAGCTCTGGCCGGAAGTGTGCTTTATCAATTAAAAAACACTGATATTACCTTCTTTTGGTACCACGATATAGCATCTCTCTCATTTGAGGCCATGTGTGTGTCCAGCCAGAGGATGGGATTTCACTGGAAATGAAGGAAAACCGGAGTGAGTCCCGCTGCAGAAAGGCACTCATTCCAGTTTGGGTAGGGCTAAAAAACCGCTTTTCTCGGCCTCTCCCGGAGCAGCTGTCTGGCTCTCCGGCTGTTTGCCAGGAAAAGATAAAATAAAATAAAATAAAAACAGGGAGCCAAAGCTAGGGAGCCTCTAGCGCAGCGGCGACCGCAGCAGCGTCTCCGCAATGTTTCGCGCGAGTGTGTCGGTCGACGCGGGGGGGGGGGGGGGAGGAAAGGGGAGGTCGCCGTCGCTGACCTGCCCACCTGTCCCCACCCCCGCCCTCCCCGGCGCTCCCCGGAGTCTGGCTCTCACCTGGTGCCCGCTGCCCGGCAGTTCGGCGGCCGGGACCTTCCCCTTCAGTGGAGCCTGCCCGGCAGTGAGGCTGCGGGCGAGGCGGCAGGCCCGGCAGGCTGCATCTTCTCGGCTAGGCGGCGACGCTAACGGGGCCGTTACCATGGAGACCGCGGCAGCCGCAGCAGCCCGGCGCCCCGAGGACAGTCTGTGGCCACAGACCCCGCGTCCTCCAAGCCCGACCTACGGGGTCAGCGGAGTGCCCGCACAATAAGCAAAGAATGAACTGGAAAAGAAGCGGGGTAAAATGCGAAAGGGGGCGGGGGGCTTCTTTAGGCCACCCGTCGCTACGGCAACAGAGAAAGGCTGCGTGCCTGGCCCGAAAAGTCAGCAGCCCAGGCCCCCGGGCCCGGAAGGCGGCCGCCTCGGGGCAACGGACGCGCGTCCTCGTGGGCCCGGCCGTGACTCAGCGGCCCAGAGCGGGCGACTGCGGCTCTGCGGACCCCGTGCCGCCGGCCGCGGCTTCCGCTTTCCGGGTTTTACCGCGGAGGTGGCTCCGCCCCGAGCCGGGCCAGCCGGCGCGAGCTTCGTGCCAGACTCCCGGATGCTGGAGCTGGGGAGCCGCTGGCAGATGCGGCCGCGAGCAGCTGCCCCAGATCGCTCCTCACGCAGGTCGCTTTCCCTCAAGAGGCTTTTCCCCCTGTCGATTTAAAGGAAGTCGCTCTTGAGAGTCCAGTAGTTCCCGCTCATTTCTTTGTGCTTCACTGTTGATACCTCTCTTCTCCAACGGGCTCGTGGACTCCACGCCTGGCACGAGCCTGGCGCACGTGTTCTCAGTCTTTGCTGAATAAATGTTATCGATTTACCCTGGGCTGGGACGAAGGGCCTGGCAAAGCTGCAGCTTAGTTATTTCCAGCCTCTCCCGCTCTGAGTTAGGCTTGGGAGTGCTCAGGGGTAAAAGATGAGGAGGGGGCGAGGCTTGGGCAGAAGCAGGGCACCTTCCTGAATTAGAGTGGCGGGGGGGGGGGGGGGGGGGGCAGAGGGAAGCGCCGTTTCCAGGTAAAGAATCCAAGCAGGCTGACGGAGGTCAACAGAAAGGAACGGCTGCTCCCCAACGTGATTATTTCAGGTGTTAAGGTTTTAAGCCGCTTTCCACCTCTATATACAGTTGTGGTGTGTTTGTCATTAATGAAACAAGGACCGCCCAGGGTTCTTGCTTGCCTGCCTGTGGCATTTGAATCAGGTAAAGCTAACTAATCACAGGTGTAATGGTTACACTAGCTGCCACTTCAGAAACTTAAGAAGTACGGTTCTGGGCGTTTTACACACATCTCCAAGCATCCATTAAATCGACTTCAAGTGGAAGTTACCCCATCTTATCAATGAGGAAAATCTAGCGAGAAGATAAATGTGTCTCCCACAGAATTGAAAGTGAGCCTGTCTTCACCCAGGATTACTTTTTAATGGCAAATGGGCAGTGGTTTCTCTTTCTTGGCTTTTGCTTCTTGACAGCTTTGCCCTTCTAGGCTAAACATTACAATTCCGTTGGGTTCCAAGACAAACGGCCAACTTAAAAAACGGGATAAATGACAATAAAAGTTTTTTTTTTTGTATAGCTAACTATTTGCTTTAAGTTACAGTAATAGCAAAAACATTTTACTTTATTGCTCAGCACCGGAAAAAAGGCTTTCTGTGCCGTTATGGAAGAACAGAATCGGGTAGATCACAGGAAGGAAGAACGGTGCCTAGCGAATTCTCTTCCGGAAGCCCCTCTGTACTTTTCAAGTGCTTCCCAAGGCTGTCCCTGCACAAAGCGTGGGCTTCGACCCTGAACTGCTTTCAGATCCCCTGCTCGCACTAAAGATCCGATGACCTGTCCACCCTGCAGGCCAGTTTTCTCACCTGTATGATAAAGACTGTCTTGTTTCTGTCCTACTTAAAGGCTGAGGACTGAGATACCCTCATATTAAGTGTCTGGCCCACCACAGTTAACTCAGAAAACACTAGTTCCCTTTATTTTCCTTTACTAATTGGAACCAAGGGCTAACAGTACTGAGGACAGGTTCACACAAAAACAAATGAGGAAAAAAATCCACTGTGTTGTAATTTAATACATCGATGACACCTCTATGCACCACCCTGATCAACACTGCATGCACGCACTTTTAGAAATACCAACACCAGCAGAATAAAAACTTAAGGTCGTCCTCAAAAGTGCGTATAAACAAATGTCAAGTGTGGTTTTTCTTCTTTCCCCAAACTAGTTGTATCTCAAAATGGATGGAATTTCTCCCAGACGCGTAGGACCTTTTCTCAAACAGTAGAATAGGGGACGTAGATTGGAGTAGGGGGATTAAATACTTTAAAAAACGGTTCCAGGTAGCTTACAATTCACAAGTGTGATTCACTTTATCACAAAACATCAGTAGAGGACAAATCAGACTTTGTTTATTAAAAAAATACTTTACAGGAAAAAAAAAACCTCTATGCATTCCATTGTCCTATTTTACAAAGAGATAGCTTAACAATTTAACACACTTAGACAGCTACAAAAAAAGCACTGTGCTAAAAGATTATTCACACAAATTTAGATTTAAGACTATTCATTAAAAACCTTTTTAAAACACTTGTTAATGTCAATAAACAAACTAAGGCCACACAACGCAAATAGTCCGCCAGGCAAATTATACATTTCATCTATATGAAAAGACCTCTTAGATAAATTAAAGCCACAGGAAAAAAAAAGTCTTAGCTGCCAATCAAAATGGAGTTTAGTCACACACAAAAAAAACACCATTACATGAAAATTTACAACATGTGAAAGAAGTAGTACGCAAGTATTTCTTCAGAGAGAATTGAAAAGTGCTATATTAAGAGACAGTGGTCTCAACTACATGCACAAGTGGATCCTAAAAAATGTATGAAGAAAATGGAAGGCCATATTTATGGAGAGATACTTGCTTCTAAAGCAACAAGCTTTCAGCATGAGGATCAGGTCCCTTACATGCTAAAGCAAAACACCTCTTGCACATTTCCTCTACTACTGCATGACCAATAAATACAGCTACAACCTGTTTTTTAAAAAAACAAAACTTAGCAGAAATATGAACCTCCGGCATGTACTAGTCAAAAGTTCTTTTTGAAAAACCTCTAGCAATGACAAAACAGATTTACTAGAAAGACACAAACTCAATTATCCTGAAGGTATAAACACAAAGTTTTAATGGCAAATACCGATGAAAGTACTGACTCATATTAACGATCAATATATTCGTTAAAGGTTTCCTTGAATTTTGGAGTCTTGTTCCTAAATTAGCTTTCATTCTAGACAATATTTATAGAGCGAAAGGCAATAAGCAAAAGTTGCCCCAGGCATGAAGTATGAACTTCATGCCTATTAAGATTGATGAAAGACGATGCAAGACCTCTTTTCCTCAGGTTTAGTAAAGAATTTTATTTAATAAGCTCCTCTTTCCTACAAGAGCTTGTAATACTAGTTATCTGATATTCCAACTGTGTCTGGGGGAAAGGGCACCTTTCAAAAGTCTTTAAAAACATTGAAATACCAGTGAAACAAATTGTAAGTGCTGAATAAGCAAATGAATGAACCTACAATTAAGCCTAGAAATTCATTTTTAAAGAGTTAAAACTTTGAAGGGAAAAACCCATACACAGATTTTTATTATTATTGCTTTATGAATTTGGAATACGTCTTTGAATCCTAATCCTAGCCCGAGCATATCTTGGTATAATTATAGAATAACTTTTGGAGAAGGGGGACTTTTATTCTTATTAGTAAATACCATAAAATCATTCTAGTTACTAAGTTAGAAATATTCCCATACTGGGTCCTTTCCATAGCACATTTAAAAATAATGTGCTCCACAAAAAACGAAAACTCAGAGCCACATTCTGCAAGTTACCTCAAAGAGCTGGCACAACGGATAACATACCAAAAAGGAAGATCAGCTTAAATCTGTTACAAGTTCACTGCCATCACTACTTTACAAATCAGAAGACTCCAGTTTGCTCCATGCCTCACTCCACCAAACCAAATAATTTAATGATTTAGAAAAGTTGCGATCATTTGTATCACTAAACTAGGATACAGCTTTGAAAGCGGTAAGAAACTCAAAACTTGGGCTTTTATATTCCTCAGTCTTTAAAGCATGCTATTAAAATCTAATACTCACTCACATAGGACATTCAGAGTTTCCAGATACATGACTAGCTAAATGTTTCTCCCTATTGCATTTCTAACATACAATGAATTAAGTAGTACATGATTTTAAACATTTTCATACTCTTTTAATGTGTTTCTATCGGAGGTGAGGGTAGAATGTTTATTAAAAGGAAAGTGGGGATTTGCTTTTGATTGCAGGTCTCTGCAGATCCGTCGGTTCCTGAGTGGTCACACACAGTGCTGGCTGTCAGGAGACAGTCCCCTTGCTTGTTAGCAATGACCAGCTTAGATGGCAGATGGCATCTGCTGGATGGCAAGTGGGAGGTGGGGAAATCGGATCTTGGAAGACAAGAAAAATAAAAATAAAAAAGTTTTTGCTTTAGCAACCTTGTTCTTCATGATTATTTTAAAAAACAAATGTTGCCTGAGAAGAATTTTACTTTGCACAGCCTAGTAAAGCTCTATGAAATTCTTCTGGACAGAAAAACAAAAACAAAAAGGAACCCAAACCCACATACTTTGTGATTAAACCCCCCACCCCCGATAATAAAAAAAACCAAAAACAAAAAAAACCACCCTCAAAGGCAGGTCCCTTAAAAACTAGTCTTGATAAACTAGAATTTACCCCAGAATTTATACCCAAGATTTAAAAACACCCCTGCAATAATCACATTACTTTTCATACCATTCTAATTACCTTATTTACAGAGATAACTAAAACCAACATCACTTCCGATTCATAAATGGTTTACATTGAAATGTTTCTCTATTAGTCTTTATCCTTTTTAACAGAGAATACATACATATACATATATATATATAAGGAATAATACAGATTCTAACTAATCACTGCAGTATTTGCTGATGTTTACTTTCCTATCGGTTTACACAGTGACCTCTATACTTTGCTAATATGCATTTAACTACACAACAATATTGCACAAAGTAATATTTATATAAGATTTAACCTATTTCAGAATATTTTAGAGAAAATTCATATTTGATATTTCAAAAGATGCAGCTAAGTTTTCGGGGTGACAGACATAACAAAGCAGCATCTTTTTTTGCCTATGTTAACGTAAATATTCCAAATCTCACCCTCGAGGAAAAAAATCTCCAAATTGCACTATAATCAGGTAGATATAAGAATCTGGCCTTAGGTGTGGGGAGGACTCTTCCTGTAATAAACAAAAGGCCTACAGTATTATTAATTAAGAGAAAGTAAAATGTGTATCACATTAATATTCTAAAACAACAGAAGACTATACCAGCTATATAAACTGTGCCTGTTTAAAAAAAAATTTTAATATTCAGGCACTAAGCATTGG